ATTTTACAAATAGATGATACAATGTTCGAAACATTGATGTTGAAGTTGTAGTCGGATAATCAGGGTGCCTCCGTCGTCCCTGTGTATCTGTCAAATCCGGGTCTGCTCATGAGTCCCCGAGGATTTTGACCTCGATCTGCCCTTCGGTCGTTTCGGGATATGTTACGCCTTGGGGTGTTTCTTTGATCTTTAGTGTATGGTTGGTACATTTCCTTGTTCGGCTTTGGCTCCTTCGAGAGAAGCCTGCTTGGATATACTGAGCTCAAGGGGGCTTCCAGTTGGTCATCCTTGACCCTTATCTTTGATTGATATCGGTTGTGGACATCCGCCCAAGTCACGGTAGGATATTCAACCATGTTCTGCTTTAGCTGTTTTGAAGCTACTGAGCATCGTTCATTCATACCTTGGGTGAAGGCTTGCACTACCCAATCATCATAGACTGGTGGTAACTCCATTCTCTCCATTTAAAAGCGAGATACAATCTCCTGCAACATCTCATTTTCTCACTGTTTGATTTTGAAGACCTTGGACTTCCTTGTAGCAACCTTGATGGCACCGGCATGTGCCTTTATAAAAGAATCTGCCAGCATGGCGAATGAGTCTATCGAATTTGGGGATAGGTTGTGATACCACATCATTGCCCCTTGAGAAAGTGTTTCCCCTAATTTCTTCAACAGGACGTATTCAATTTCGTCTTTCAGGTTATCTCCCTTTACGGCACAAGTGTAAGTAGTGACGTGCTCGTTAGGATCCGAGGTTCCGTTGTACTTCGGGAGATCAGGCATTCCGAATTTCTTCGGGATGGGTTTCAGAGCTACACTTGATGGGGATGACTTTTGTACGAATTTCTTGAAATCAACACCCTTCAGGATCGGGGGTGCTCCCAGGATCTGATCGACCCTTGAGTTGTAGGTCTCCTCCTTTTTATCATTAGCTTCTATCTTCTTTCACCCGATTCAATCCTCTTTATGAGGTCCTCGAGCATCTTCATAATAGCGGGGTCGGCTGCTGACCCGTTGTTGCTCGATCTTTCTGGTACTTGTTTGGCTCGAGGAGCCATTTCCGGTGCTGTTGTGCTTGGAGTTTTTTTGTGGCGCTGAAGTTGAGCAATCGTCAGCTGTTGTGCCTGCAACATCTCAAAAATGACATGAAGGCTAACCTTTTGTTCCTCCCGGGCTGGGGTTCTCTGAGCTTCTTGTTGGTTTTCTGGGCATATACTCTCGTTAGTGTGAGAGCTTATATCAATGTGTTGGGCATTGCGTGAGACCACATCCACATGGATTGGCTCTGGTGCATCCTCAGGTTTTTGTAGTGGTACACCGATGCCTGGAACAACTACACCATTTTCTCCATGGTCCTCAGGACCATTACTTTCATGTGCATTTACTGAGTTAGACATTTTGACCTGAAATCAAAGATTCTTCGACAAGAGAAAGTTTAAAGAATAACTTGTGTTTTAAGTAAACTAGCACGAAAACAATAACTATTGTTTTTAGCCCCACGGTAGGCGCCAAACTGTTTACCTTAAAAATAGTAATTACAATTAGATTTGATTAAGTGATTCTAAAAATACGTGATTTTTTTATGCTAGTTTGTAGGCAATAGATGCTAAGTATCAGCTAAGAAAGTAAAGTAAGAGTAAGAGGTAGTGTTAATATTCAAACCAAACGATCGTGAATCGGGGTGAATAGGGGCCTCGAGCTGGCCTACGCTGGGCCTCGAGGTCATGCTAATGAGCTTGACTGGGACGATCGATGAAGTAATAATAGTTTCAAGGTCCTCAATAATGGCTTTTTATAATCAATGATGATTAATAAATGAACAACAATAAATGTAAGCAATAAATCAAAGGAAAGACAATGGAGAATGTTCTTGTTCTTGTATTGAATCTCATGTGTGCAAGAAATAACAAGGGTCCCCTTTATATAGCAGGGGGAATCCCAATATAGTACATATGCATTTATTATAAAGATTTGCAGCTAGTAAAACTATTTAACTTCACGGTACAGATTGGTACTATTTTTGTAGACCTCGTCAATAATAATCACGCGCCTTGGGAATTTCCCGCTTATCCATGGTAGCCACCGACTTACACTACCCCGAGGTTGAGATAGGGAACCCTCGGGGTCGAACCTCGAGTTATGCCTCGGGCCTTCTGAAAACGGGCTATTGAATGTCATAATGATCAAAAATCAAACTCTCCAATTTTAGCTGTATAGACAAAGTCTATCAATTCGAACGAAGTCAAGAGATACTATATTTAAATTTCTTCATTTGATGTAACTGAACTACGCTTGACCAGATTCTCATTTAAGAAAGAATACATAGGCAGCCCTGTGGGCTCTGTCACATCTTAATAAAATTCTCATTTTCCCCACAACAAAAACTGTGGCAGAATTGTAGGGAGTCCTAAAATTTCCTGACCAAGTCCAGCTAACGTCATCACATGTAAGACATTTAAAAAATTGGTTAAGTAACTGGGGCAAAATTTTGAGAAGGATTCTCAAAATTCCGGAGCAGGTCCGACAAACTTCATTACATGCAGAACGACTGAAGGATCACTTAATAAACTGGGGTAGAATTTTGAGGAAGATCCTCAAAATTCTAACGCAAAGAAGTCGCAATGTCTCTAAAAGTGTCACAGTCATTAGTTCATCTAATTTACTTGATATTATAGACCACTATGTTTTCTAAGATAACTCTATTTCATCAAATAAGTGCAATTTTTCGAAAACCTTATTTCTATGGCAGCCAGGTGTTGCCCAAGGTAACTCGAATAGGATCTCCAGAGCAAAGAAAAACAAAACAAGCAGACAAAGACATGAACCAACCTCCCCTGCAAAACTCACGATTTTTTTGGATTCAGGAACAAGGAATAACAATAAGTACGTGCGCCTTAAAATCATTCCCTTTATAACAACTGGACCGCCAAGTGCAAATATATCTCCAGCTAAGAAATATTCTACTCCTATTTGCTATTTGCCCATTGCATGAGACTAAGCCCTATCTCAAATCTTGCATGAGGCTAAGCCATGCCTCCCTATTTGCATAAGGCTAAGCATTGCCTTCTCTTTGCATGAGACTAAGCTCTGTCTCAATTCTTGCATGAGACTAAGCCCTGCTTCCCTATTTGCATAAGGCTAAGGATTGCCTTCTCTTTGCATGAGACCAAGCTCTGTCTCAGTTCTTGCATAAGGCTAAGCCCTGCCTCCCTATTTGCAACAGGCTAAGCATTGCCTTCTCTTTGCACGAGACTAAGCCATGTCTCAAATCTTGCATGAGGCTAATGCCTACCTCCCTATTTGCATAAGGCTAAACATTTTTGTCACGCCCTAAACCTGGGGAGGCGTGGCTGGCACCTGGTGCGAGTGAACCATTGTGTAACTCATTTATTCCTTTTGTAGCTATCATGGGCCGATATGGCCACAACTCATAATGTACAATTGTATGTGATCAAATGTTATATTAATAAACCGTTGTTCTGAAAACATGAATACATATGGGTCGTCAAGGCCTCTGACACAATGTACAATCTGAATCTCTGTCTATAAAGCCTCAACGATTATTTGACCTCAAATGAGGTAGAGTCTTACCGATCCTTCGTTGAATGCCAATCTTGTCTACTATGAGGGCTCCTCAACTGATTATCTATACCCGCAGGCATGAATGCAACGTCCTCAACAAAAGGACGTCAGTACGAATAATGTACTGAGTATGTAAGGCATGTGAATAAGTATATAAAGAAACATAGAGTAAATGATTCAGCCGGTAAGTCTGGATAGTTCTGTAAATAGTGAAATAATTATAGTGTCATGAATATGCGTATGAATTTCATGCCGTGCATACACATATTTCATAACATCATTAGGCCTCTAAGGGCATTCTATCATATCATCTCGGCCACCGTGGGCAAAGTCATCAATGTATACCAGGTGATCAGGTGGTGGTGCGTATATAACACCGTAACCTTTTTTCATATCTCATATACATATATATACATACATATATATGCGTATATAATGCTGCCTGAGTCATATCTCAGCCACTATGGGCAACATCATCATCGTACACCAACTGATCAGGTGGTGGTGTGTATATAATGTCGTAACCTTTTCTCATATCCCATATACATATATATACACATATATATATGCGTATATAACGTCGTCTGAGTCATGGGTAAATATGTATGTATAAATGTATGAAATGCATAGGAAATACGTTAATAAAATTTCTCGGTACGTCGTAAGACCATTATGGCTCTAGTTAATATCATGAAATAATATGACACATGGGGAATCAAGTTTAAGCTTTAGTAGTATTTTCATGGCTTGTATTAAAGCAAGATAATCTTCTTTGATGCTACCATATTTTTGTTAAGTAGTACTACTATTTTAAAAGATAGTAGTTCTACAACAATTGTATGACAAAAGACTCTGAAAGGTATAGTACTGATTGTTTTCAATCTCCATTTAGAACTTTACTTTTGTATGAAGAGATGTCTTTCCTTTTTGTTTAGCTTTAATTATTTTTAATATTTGTGATAATTAAACTAGTTAATTCCTTATCTATAATCATAAAGTAGGTACTTATAACCACTTCTACTACTCTATGTCCTTGTCTAGCTGTGGGTTGGACTACATTTGTAAATAGTGAATTTTTTACCAGGACCCAATATCTTTAGAAAAAAAATCAAGTAGACCTTAATAACAAGTATTTCAGTGCTAATCTGTTAATAATAGAAGTTGTGCATTTGCTTGTTTCGTTCGTGTCGTATATATTATGTCAAAAAGAAAGAAGAGATAACATTAACATACCTAAGATTGGATATTACACCAAGATCAACTTTAGATGCAGATTGCAATACACATCAAACTTCTCATAGTGAAGTTGTGACAAACTACCATAGATGTGTGGTTTTTTAGTTTATTGAACTCAGTCAAACTAGTTGGGGTGGGATGCATAGCTAATTAAACTAGTTGGGGTGGGATGCATAAATCTCATAAAAAACTAATCTTGCAGCTTCCATATTGTCAATAGCAGTGTACACAGCTATTAAAGTATTACCCACAAAAATAATAATCAAGAACCCCAATTTCAAGATTTGACCATGTACCAACTCCCCAAGATAACAACTTTTCATTCCGGCACAAGCTATTAAGACACTAGTCACGCATACCCGTGCTAAAGCACGGGCCCAACAACACCAAATTTGGTATCTCTATTATATTAGAAATTCTAGCATATTTCTTGTACATATATACATATACATAATATGAAGGTATATTGAAGAATACTAAGATTAAAAGTTAGTACTTATATATATGACTATACAAAGTTCCCGATTGTTTCAATTCAAATAGTTGACCTGGGCTGCTGTTAGTGCGAACAATTTTCTTTTCGTCCTTAGCTACGTATAATATTAGCATAAATGAATCCAGTTCAAGTCACCCTGATCAACCCAAAAAACTTTTGAATATCCTTTTTTTTAAAAGTGTTTTTTTGGAGTAGTAACGTAGTTCAAGCTTCTCTTTGAATTTTCTTTTTACCATGTTGCTCTCGCCTGCTTCATGTAATTACACACTGCAACCAAGAAGAGGAAAAAGAGCAAAGAGATTTATCATGTATTTATTTTTTTAGAATATGTATTTGAAAAGCTTTGACGGGTGCGTGTAAGGTTGGTCCTACTTGAGAGCTGTACATAGAAAACTAAGAGGAGCCTCCGAGATCTTCAGATTCATGCTTGCATATACTTGTTCCCTATATATTTCCATATATTGATTTGCTCCCAAAAAGTTTTGCAATCCAACAACTCTAGTAACAAATTATTGATCCAAAATGCAATAAAAACTATAAAGATCCTAAGCCTTCATTCCAATAAGAATATGTGGAAGCTCTCTAAAAGAAGTGCCGATACAAAAGCACTTTAAAACAAATTAAAAGAATTAGAAAACAGAGAAATCAGTTCGTGCTGAAATTACCTTTTCAATTAGTAGATGGCCCATTGTAATATAGCAGTCTCAACTAACAGAGAAATCAGTTCGTACTACACCATTTAGTGCAATCCATCACCGAGAAATACAACTTGAAGAGTTTAGACATTTTTTCCATCTATTGGCATTGATACACCTTATTTTTCAAAATTCCTTTGTGCGCCTAGCTAACTGATGTTAAGATCCAATTGAAAAGAAAAAAAAAACTAAAGAGAAGTAGAAAGAACAATAGCAGTGAGAACCGATGGATAAGTCTTCTATGGCTTTAGCCTACATTCCTCTAAAGATGCCACATATACTAATAATGCGTGAGTCGTACTTGTGTTAAGTAAAAAATTTGCCACGTTGTGTTCTTATCCAAAATATTTTGAATAATTACTAATTACCCGCATAATTAAGAATTATCTCAACTTACTTAAAATACTACTCAGTTTTAATATACTTTATACATCGTACTATTACAGTTATGTGGTACCATATAACATAAATACATATACTATTATTTCATTAAAACATCCAGGTAAAAATACATATATTTTCTCAACTTATAATTTTTCTAATCTTATATAAAAAGTAAAAATTCTCGTACGCTTAATTCTTAAAATGGTAAAAAGATAACCTTCTTTTCTTGTGAGATAATAATTTCTATTTTTACAATAAAGAAAATCTCATAATTGTCTTCTCTTTGCATGGGACTAAGCTCTATCTCAACTCTTGCAAGAGGCTAAGCCTTGCCTCCCTATTTGCATAAGGCTAAGAACTGCCTTCTATTTGCATGAGACTAAGCCCTGTCTCAAATCTTGCATGAGGCTAAGCTTTGCCTCCTTGTTCGCATAAGGATGTCTCCCCTTTCTCGCATGAGGTGGAGCATTGCCTCCCCATCTGCATAAGGCTAAGCTCTGCCTTTCCTTGTCTAATGACTAAACATTACCCTTCCTAAAACCTAGCATTATTTTACCTTTTCCGGGACTAAGCTCTATCCCGATCATGTACGAGACTAAGCTCTGTCTTGTTTTGCTCATATGCATCACCATGTCTCTGTCCGAAGGCGTCATAGTTCGAAGGCATCATCCTCATAGCATGAAGACACCATGTCATGGACTGAGGATCTCTCAATATCGCACATCGTCATTTAAAGGAATCATGGTTCGGAGGCACCATTCTCATGGCCCGAGAACATCATTTTATGGCTTGCGAATCCTCTATCTCATGATTCATGGCCCGAGACATCACGGTGTAGTGGCGTCATCCTCACTGTCCCAAGACAACCTTCACGGTCCAAAGGGAATTTGCATCATATTTAAATTCTCGCAATAATCCATATATATTTGCACGCATCGTGTCTTACGTTTTGCAGGTAATTTAGAAGTGAACCGCTCTTTAAACAGGATTAACCTTCGCTTCAGTTTCCGTTCATACCGTTCATTCCCTGCCACTACTTCAAACGTAACCGACTCGCATCAATTATGCGCCTTTACTCTATGACCGTTCAGACATCTTCCATGTGATACATCTGTTACGCTTCTGATTCACATTCATAACTCCACATAAATCTATCCGAAACTATCCTTCCCAAAAGAATACTTTCCGAAACATACGACTATTCCTATACCAATTTCATCGGTTTTATTTACCGTTGGGTCAAGAACTACACACGGCCTGATTCCTGTAAAACCGGGGATATGTAGGCATCCCAGAGACCAAGGTGCAACTATTTTTCAAAACACCCCATTCGCTCAAAATCGGTAATCATTTCTTTACCCGATAACTCTTTCATCCTTCCCGGGAAAAAGAGGGGCAGCTGTTGATACCCAATTTCCCTCTCATATCTCTCAAATACACATATATACTTTCAAAATAGTGCATGAGCATCACCATGTATTTTTTTCATAATTTTCTTATTATTTTTAAATGGCTTTTAATCAATTTATTCCTATATTTTTATATAAATAATTATTATTTGCATTACAAATAATTTTATAATAATTTATTACTTAATTGTTCATCATTTATTTCCATATTAAGCTTTAAATATTTTATATCTATATTATATATATATATATATATATAATTATTGTGCATCCTTAGGCTAAAATTGCATATTTTGCAATAATAGCCTATATGTATGCATAATTACATTATTTACAAAAAAAAAAACTTTTTATATTTTAATAGTGTTGAGTAATTATTTTAAATAATTTTCATGCACAAGTGATATTTTTATTATTTATCAATTATTTTTTATAAATTATTTTTTTTGTTAAATTGGGTAATTAAAATATCGCCTCCTAAAACCCCAATTTCGGACCTAGACCAATTACCTACACTACCCAATTACCCCGGCCCCATACACCGGCCCACATTAAATACCCAATACCCAGACTCATACCCGTTTAAAACCCCGACCTAACTATTTTTTTTAAAATCACAGTCGTTGATCTCTGAAGAACAACGACTCAAATCACCTCACCTCTTTTTAATTATACCCATCCGCCCAAACCCTAATGACTTTACACCTCCGCCATCCTAGAACACTCTCGTCTCTCGCCTCTCAAAACCCTAGCGCATCACTCAAATCTCTCCGATTCCAACCCCAAAAATGGAATCAATCTATGATTCCCTTACAATATTAGTCTCACCTGCCTACTGGCTACCCGTGTTTGGTATTACATAATGGCTTACCTGGAATGGCAAGCAAATCTGGAAAAATCGAAACAAAGTTGGTTCAAATCTTTAACCTGTTGTTTATTCCGTCTGTGTTCATCACTTTTGATCCTTGAAAGTACGACTCTTTTCGTATCTCTCACTGATTCGACTTAACCCTAAGGTTATGGTTTTAGATCTTCTTTATTGAACCAAATCTGGTTCAATTTTATGTTTCTTATGAATATCCTCCTGTCTATGTTCATTCTGTTAAAATATATGATTCTTTGCCTCTCTCTTTTTTAATCAATTTTGTGGTTTACCTAAAATAAGGGTTTCATATCTTTGATTGAACCAAATATGGTTCGATTCTAGTTTTCTTTTTGAATAATCTTCTGTCTACTTTTATTGTATGCATTATGTGATTCACTGCCTTATTTTTCTGCCGATTTTTTGAAGGTTTACCTAAAACTAGGGTTTGAAACTTTTACTGACTTTTCGATACTTTTTCCTTTCTCATATGAAACTAATATTTTCCTTCTTTCTGTTCAATTTACCATGTTTCCTTTATTCCTTTACCTTATTTTTCCTTGAAACTGGTTGTTAATTGATTCCATATGACATTTTCCTTATTCTAAGTGTTACTCTCCCAATTACACGCTATTATTCCCTGATAATTTACTGAACTCTGTATTATTTGTCCTAAAACTAGACTTCAATTGATTCTATGATTAATTTCTTTCTTTACTTATGTGTGTTTGATTTCTTTCCGTATTTGTTCGCCTAATTGAATACTATTTAAATCCTTCTCCCTTTCCCCTTTAGACAGACTTGAACTCTATAGACTCTTACTAAATTTTAAAGTTTCTGGTTCTATACTCTCTTTGTTCTCTCGTTTACTACTGGTCTTGGCCGGCTGAAAGCCAAGGGCAAACATTCTGGACTTTTAACTTCTTGGTATTGTTCTGGTTTTTCTCGCTTAACTGGTGAGTGACTATCCTTTGTCATACCAATTTTTATGTGTTCTTGATCTGTGTTGATAATCCAGCATTTCTAAAATCCCTCTCTAAGCATGATTCTGCCTGTCTACATGCTTTTCTTTTAATCCTATGGTCAACACTATTAATTTATATTAATTATTTTGAATAATATGAATCCTCTTAAGATAATATGCTCAATCTGCCTTATGTGTGTTCTGAACCTGTTCTGAATTTGAGTACCTTTAAGACAATGTTAGAAGGTTAAGTAGTCAACCAGTCTTAAGGCTTTGAACTTGTATTGTTATTAGGATTTTGTTCTATCGTTTATATGCTTTCTAGCATGTCTGAAATTCATGTTAGTGTTTTGATTATTTGGTTTTCCTAAATGCTAGCATTGAATACCTAGCTTAACTAGATTGTTAACCAGATTTCAACTCATTTGAACTGTGTTTGAGCATGAACCTTGCTTGTTTTCTGGGTGCAATTCTGTCTACAAGTTCCATGTCTTAACTTTGCTTTCTTCTGAAATCAAAACTGTTTAAATCTGTCTCTCTTTATATGTTGTTGCTCTTTTAAAACTTCCACTCTTAGTCCCTTAGGTTCTATCCTCAACCATCCAGTGTGACCACTGCTCAGGGTCGATGTGAGACTTCTATGAACTCTAACACATAGGGAACGTGTTCCTAATCTCTTTTACAATATTTCTAAGTTGTGGTTCTGGTGTAAGCATTTCCCTGGGTCGTTGAGGCCCTTGGGAACTTTGACATATTGGAAACCTGGTTCTACATGTGTTACGTGTGAGACATTTGTATTTGTGCTATGATGTACCTATGAATTGAGCCTCGAAGTTGATTGGTTTGAAGGCTTGGTTCCTAGGTTTATTTGGGCCCAATTAAGGCTCCATGTAGTGTATCTTATTACTATTATGTAATTCATTTTCTATTCTGGTTTGTAACAACTCTGTAATAAACAACTTCTAGGGTATTTAATAAAATCGGGAAGAGAGGGGGGGGGGGGGGGGGGTATTTCTTATTTCCTTCTGTTAAACTGAGTAGAAATTCTGCCTATAAGTATTTATCTTTTATATTAATTCTGCTCATTCGTCAAAACTGTTAAGTTTTTCAATGTGTTTTGGAAATCCTCGCTATAGGACTTTCGTTGGTGATGTTGATTATGAGTTCTATATTTGTATATTAGAAAGCATTCCTATAGGATTATATTGCATATTAGAAATCCTGCCTATAGGTTGCATTAATCTTTCCAATAAATATGTGTTAAAAATCATGCCTACAGGATCTGAATGTTTGATTTAATTGTTTTTTGGTAATATGCACAACTTCTGATCGTATTACTGTTCAATGAATATCATGCCTGTAGGACTAAAAATTAAAATCAGTTTCAAAAATAGAGATCATGCCTATAGGGTTTAAATCAATTCGACATTAGAAATCATGCCTATAGGATTCTATTAATTGGTTCTGAATATAATCGTCGTTGTCATTACTTAGACAGTATGCCTATAGGACTTAATAACAATTCTAGATCTGTAATTGTGATTCATTACGGTTTGAAGTGCCTAGATGATATTCATTAAAACCAGTAGGCAAACAGTAAGTCCTAACAC